GAATTGCGTTCAGCTCGTGAGCAAGTTGGTATACAGTATACTGATGAAAATATCTACTCTGTCTTATATTTTATCACACTTAAATTGAAATGAATTGCGTACTGATAAGTGGGACCATGAATGTCTACTTTAGCACAATCTGGACAAACTTGAAGCTAACCACCAAGCCCTTGGGCTGGTGGCCACCACCAAAGGGCTTGATGGGGTGGGAGGCAAGGGTTCAATTCAATTCTTGCCTCCCACCAATATGCCATCTTTGTGGCTTGCTTCAAATCCAGACGGGTGCGTCGTGCACCCGTTTGGTCCGGTGGTGGTTCTGTCTCCATCGGTCCTCTAGGCTCAGCTGGGCATCCCCGTAGATAGAGTAGGAGTAGGAGTAGAGTTAACATTGACAAAAAAAAAAAAAAAGGACAAACTTGAAGCTGAAATAATTGAAAACATTGTACTGGAAAAGAAAAGCTAAATGATTGTTTCCAAGCTATAGAGGAAAGAAAAAGGGGTAACTGATTGGGGAAAGCTGTACAAGAGAATTAGAATTTAAATCTGGGGTGGGCTTTAAACGAAATCCAACCAATCAGTAGTGTTGAATTAGAATTTAATCAATTCCATAAAAGTTAAATGTAAATTACACATAAAACATAAAAATTAGACAATAGTCATCACAAAAAAATTTGTGGAGAGTCATATAAATCCATTGAAGAGAATGATTCAAGTCCTATGGAGAAAGCCATCTCCATTACTGTAAGCCATATTCATTCGGCTAAAAGCCAGTCAAAAGCACAATCAAATGACTCTAAAAGAGGGGGAACATAGACCACACCATAACAGTTTTTTTACTTGAAAACAGAGAGAGAGAGAGAGAGAGAGAGAGAGAGAGGGCCCTAGTGTTCGACATTTCTCTTTGTCGTGTTTGGTTGATTTTCAAATGAAAATGTTAGAATTTGCATCGTTTTAGGAATTAAGCTCAATTGAATAGGCTAGCAAAAATGTTGGCCGAAAAAATGAGTGTTCAAAGTAAATTTTGGCTTGAAGGATAACTTTACTCATCTTTGTACAGCAATGATTAGTACAGCTAAATATTCTTAGGTCTCCCAACAATCCTTTTGTCTTCTATGAAACTAGATTTTCTGCATTCGCAGACACCATTAACATTTCCAATCCTATTAGGGTATGTTTGGATTGAAAAATCTGACGAATGATTTAAAATCTACTCAAATTGCTTTAGTTATTTGAATTATTTAAAAGGTATTTGGGTTTGTAGTTCACTAATTATCTAAATGTATTCAAGATACTAGAATAATTGATGATTTACGAATCCAAGTACCTTTTAGACCATCTAAATAACTAGAGAAATTTGAGAGAATCTCAAGTCCTTCATTAAATTCCTCAATCCGAACGCAGTCATAGAACCTCAAAACCTTGCCATCAACATCCTGACATATCATAGTATATGTCATCGTAATCTTTTCTAGATGCTAATAATGTTAAATTTCGAGCACTCCTAGGCATGAAAATTGGTCTGGAAATCATTAGTTTACTAGATTAAATTTTGAGTTTCACAATAATTTTTGTTTAGAAAATCTTTTACCTCCTCTTTTTAGTTTTAATTTTTTGGACAAAGGGATACTCCAAGGGTCTGTTTGGTTGGAAGTAAAATGTTTTCCTTGGGAAAATATTTTCCGTGGAAGTAATTTTCCATGAAAATCATTTCCCTTTCATCATTTTCAGGTGTTTGGTTAGCTTATTGAAAATATTTTCTTATTTCATTTTTCTGGTGTTTGTTTAACTTTTGAAATATTTTCACTTTTATCTTTATCTTTACTTTCTACACATTATAACTACATACTTCTTCCCATGCAAAATAAGAAAATTTATCTTATTATTTAACTTTAAAAAATCTTGGAGAAATGTATATATGAATAAAAAATATCTCCTTAAACAATAAACAAATTGCTGGCCATTTAGTATCAAATATCAATCACATGCAATAATTATTATGACATATATCTTGCACTCTCACTACTGAAAGTTTCTCTAGAAAAGAATGTCCCTATTATACATAATTAATTACTAGTATAGGATGAGCAGGATGAGATTTTTTTTATTTTGAATATATTAGGGGGAGGGTTGGGTTGGGTGGTACAGGGGAGGGAGTGTAAGGAAGAGGTTTTGGGTTCGAGTCCTCCTGTTTATAATAAAAAAAAAACATACTACAAGATGTTTTCAGTAAGTTTGGAACATACTACTGGCGGAATGCATGCATTTCGGAAAACAACTTCAGTAAGTTTGAAAGGGAAGTTGTTTTCCATAAGATGAGTGAAAATATTTTACATAGGAAAATGTTTTCAGTAACTTTTGTGTAACCAAACACGGGAAATTAGGAAAATATTTTCCTGGAAAATATTTTCACCTGAAACAAACGGACCCCAAATCTTATTAGAAAGAAGGGAAAAGTGGGAAGACTTGAAAGTCAAATCAGAAACCTCACGGTCCACCTATTTAATATCCCTACTAATTAAATTTGGTTTCAAAAAAAGATCTTTTATCTTTTTTTGCTCCTGTATTAAATAATTTTTGGATTTTGTACCAAATTTGATAAGAATTTGGTGTCAGAATGTGTTGGGCGAAATATTAGACCCAAAATTATCTTATTATGAGATCCATTCTAACCCAGCAAAATTGCCAAATAATTTTCTTTTCTTAATCCATACCAACCCCAACAAAATAACTGATTAGGGAAAGCTATACAAAAGACCCACCGAACCATTTAAGCCAAAAAAAATGAAAAATAAAATTTATTTGGTTTCGATTCTGATTACAACCACAAGTGATGTCATGCCCTAAAATTACATGTTGGCTAGGATGTCTATCTTTACCAACTAAATCAACTTATTTTAGCTTAAAAGTAAATTCTAAAAAAGTGATTCATCTCTCAATTCACCAATAAATCAATTTTTGTTCAGTGTATCCTTGTGAAAAGATATGAAAAATGAACAGATGGCGTACATGCGTAGCACTTGATTTATTCTGTTATTAATTGGCATGACCAGTCAACTGTCCTCATTTGGTCAAAATTAAATACTTACATTCATTTTGTAATTTTTATTCTTCTATGATTTTTTTTTAAATTTCTTGAATTTTATTAATATGTTATACACTTCTAGGGGCCAATTCAACCAAAACTAAATACTAGGACTAAACTTGTTTAGTCTTCTCAATTTCTCCTATCTTATAAGATTTAGAGTTTCACCTTAAATCAAAAAAGAAATATTTGAAATCAATTTGTCCGAAACTCAATCTTTTGGCATTACATTTGTTTTTGGATTAATCTTGCATTTACTAACAGTCTATACACAAGTATAATCTCAATTTTAATTTGAACTTCAGTTTTTACACGTATCACCCATCTAGAAGCGATAATACATATGCTATGAGTGTATAGAAAATTAATCTTCATTTTTTCTAGATACATTGGGAGGCTTTGATATTTTCTGCATTGATTCTTAGGTATGCTAAAAAGAATGTCAAATAAAAATTTCTCTCCAATGTTCCTTGAGCTATCTTCATCGCTACTATCCTTCCTTGGGGTTGGCATTCCCAACTTGACATGTGGAGATGACATGAACATAACAAACAAAAGAAACTTGATTGAGTTGATTTTACAAATAGATCGATACAGAACATGATATGCAAATGAAATGGATCGTAAGGGGGAAAAGGAGAAGACTTGTGACTTGTGAGTCGAATCATAAATCTCATGGTCCACATTTCTACCAACTGAACTAGGTTTCACTCTTTTTTATCTTTTTTTTTTAGCTTCTTCATTTCTTACCAAATTCGATTAAAATTTGGTGTTAGAATGTGTTGGGCCAAATATTAGACCCAAAACTATCTCGATACCAGGTCCATACTATCCTCAGCAAAAATGGATAGAACTACACTAGGGCCAATCGTATTGACCATTAATCATTATCATATCAAGGCCATGAGGTCCAAAAGATCTATCAAACATGCCAACAAGTTCCTTAATCTTGCATGATGAACAAGGTCAAAGAACTTTGGAAAAAAAAAAAAAAAAAAGGATTGAGGTCACAATCAAACACAAAACCAAGGAAAAAATAAAGGTGGCTTTTTATTACAACAAGCAATTGTGTATCAATTTCATCAACCAGACATAGATAATATATCTAGTAAAAAAGTGCAGCCAATCAAGCTAATCGATGATGATAATACTTAGCTGGTAAAGAAAGTGTTTATTCCAAGATTTAGTGGAGGATAGGCTCCCAACTTGGGTTAGTTTTCCCAGATGAAGCAAAATTAGCAGAGTCTCACAAATGACAGGAAAATGTGAAGTGCCAAATTGAGAGATGCCAATTTAACAAACTGAGACATAACATCACCAAAAAGCTAATGACCAGCAATGTACAGATAAAGAAAAAATGAAAAAGCAAGTGCTTATCCAGATTTAACAAAAATTTCCAATTTATTTTCCAGCAGCAGAAGTTCCTAGTATATTTGAGCAAGTCATATGTCCATCTCAGAAATGAATTGAGGAAATGGATAAGTTGCTCAAAATTGATCAAATATACTGACAAATTATCAGTGGAAGAACAAAGTAACTTGATCCAAATCATGCCTATCATCTCGAATGCAGACTCCTTATAAGGACTTTAATATCCCCATTTTCTTCACCAATCTTAATTGCTCACTTTTCTGCAGATTCTTCACACCAACGCACTTCAATCATCTCCAATGTGTATTTGTTTGCAAAATCCTCAGGAATTTCCTGAAGTTCTTTGCAATTTTGTAACACAAGTCTTTCAAGCTTGTGGAGATCCTCACAAGAGGCATTCCACTGGGCAATGTTCAGATTTCCTAAGCCAAGAACTTTTGAGTTTCTGGAACTCTTCTTCCTCATCCCATAGCTGTCCTCATCCCATAGCTGTCCCATGATGAACGCGATCGAAAATAAAAGAAAAAAAATAGAACAAGCTTCTTAACGAGTAAGATCAAACACAAAACCATTGACAACAAGAAGCCATTGCGTTTTAGTATGGACAAACAAGCATCCATAGAACATTTAGTAGCTCCCTGCTTCGTAGGTTCAGCAGAAAAAACCAACTGTATGAGATAACAAGTTGGCACAGCTCAGTATCATTAGACATAAAAGGCAACACTGAAATGCCACTTAGCAATCAAATTCAGACACATTGTTACATTAGTTGGTATATTATCCAACAAACATAATATTGAATATAAAACTGGAAAGTTCCAATATAAGGCAAAGCTTGGCATCAATGTCTTGCTTGTGGTGAATGAAATCCTCTGAAGTTCCAGCTGATCCTTCAAAGTATAGACTTCAGCCTTCTTTCGTTGAGCACCAATACCTCGGGATATCTAAATCAGGAGTTTTCACAAGTTCAACCTAGAACAAGGCAAAGAAAGATGCTCTCAGAGACTAGATTCAAACATCATTTACTACACCAAAAATAGTAGACAAAGAAGTTACAATTGTTCAGTTCCTGAATTAGCAATTAAAAGTATTGAGTTGGGCTATTGGATAGGTAGCTGGAAATTCATCAATAGACTTACAAGTGAGTGGAAGAATACAGTAACGTGATTCAAGTCATGCTTATGAACTCAAATTTGAACTCGTGATAAGGACTTTGATGTCCCCGGTTGTTTTCCTAATCTCAATTGCCGACTCTTCCACAGATTGTCCACACCAATGCACTTCAATTGTTTCCAATGAAGCTATGTTAGAAAGATCTTCTGGGATTTTCTCAAGGCCTTTGCAATTTCGCAGGACAAGTCTCTCAAGTTTGGGGAGATGATCATAAGAGGCATTCCATTCGGCGATGTCCAGAGTGTCTAAGCTCAAGAACTTGAGTTTCTGGAACTCGTCTTCCATCATGTCCCATGTTCGCCCCACAAAGGTACCAGAAAGTAACTTGAGAACTTCCAAGTTTGGTAGAGTGCCAATTGCAGAGATATGACTCCATGGTAAGCAGAAGCGTGATAGAGTCAATTCCTTCAAACTCAATGGCAGATTGAACTCGCCATTGTGAAGAGGGTTCCCATAGTAAAAGATCTTGAGGGATTCCAAATGAGAAAGAAACTTCAACCTTGGAAACTGATTGCAACTTGTGGAGGAATATTGTGATTCATAGAATATGCAACTCAATTTGCAAAGATTTGGAAGCCTCTTGATTATTCTTTCTGCATCCTCACCACAAGAAAGAGATGGGCAGGAAAAGCTGACCAAATTTGCTAATACAGAGCTATCAACAGATTCTTCAACATCTGAGTCGAAGGCAACATGAACATTGACATGAAGATGCCTTAAACACGTCATGCGCCAGATAGTATTTGGTAAGATGATCTTACCACGTAATCCTTTCACAATAAGTGTTTCCAATTTCCTGAGGTTGGCTATCGAATGTGGAATAGATCGCATGTAGCCCCCAACTGCTAAGTATGTCAAGTGGAGAAGCAGTCCGATTTCAACAGGAAAAGAAATACCCAAATTGATGCATTCCAAATCCAACACCTTAAGTAATTTGAAGTTGTGGCAAATGAATGAAATGTCATAAGGGCATCTAGGTTCGGAATCTGTTGATGCAAAGAACACCAAAGAACGGGTGGCCAAGCCAGAAGGTTTTGATTCAACAAAGTGGTTTCGCTTCAAAGATAGAGCCAACCGATAGCATGCAAATGATACAGGAGATGAATGACGGTAAAAGTCAAATTCGAAACCATAATCAGAACTGGGAAAAGAAGCATATGGATAATCAGACCTGGTGACTAGCTGAAAGAAGTTGGTCTCTTTGGTTTTTGACTTACAGAAATCAAGTACGAGGTCATGAAGCCTACATGCTTTGACCTTCTTATTGGACCTTCTTTGGGAGATTGTCACCAAGCTTCTGTCAATCAAGTCCATCAAGAAATTCTCTGCTACATCCTCATAGCTCTTTTTCTGAGTTTGTGGTATGAAACCTTCTGCGAGCCAAAACCGTATCAGCTTGCTGACTCGAATGTCTCTGTCTCCATTAAGAACTCCAAGATAGAGAAAGCATGGCTTTAGATATTCCGGCAGGTGTTTGTAGCTGAGTTCTAAGACTTCCTTGCACTGAGCTTCTGGGTTATCGATGTTCTGTAAGCTGAAACTGTCCGCTATTCTTTTCCACGAAATTTGGCTCTTTTCTGTCTTTTTTAGTATACCTGCTACAGCTACAACTGCAAGAGGCAATCCTTGACAGAGGCGAGCAATTTCCTGTCCCACTGCCAACAACTCCTCAGGGCAACATTCCTCTTTGAACACCTTCTTTTCTAACAGCTTCCAACTTTCCTCCTGTGAAAAGAGGAGAGGAGAAAGAGGATCCCTTTCTGGTTTAATTTCCGAGGCCACTTGATGGAGGCGACTTGTCAACAAAATTCTACTTCCATTTTTATCATCTGGGAATGAATTTTTCAAATCATTCCAAAATTCAACATCCCAAACGTCATCCATAACTACAAGATACTTGTTTCTCAGCAGACACTTTTTCAATTTGGACTCGAGCTCTTCATCACTCATTTGATGAATCTCATCCATAAGCCCGTGAATGCCTTTTAGAATCTCAATCAACACTCTCCTTTTCTCGTATACATGGGAAACAGTGCACCATGCACGGCAATGGAAGCCATATCTGACATGCTCGCTGTCGTACACTTTCCTCGCCAATGTTGTCTTGCCTAAACCAGGCATTCCAACAATAGCAACGATATCTAGCTGGGGAGATCTTCCCATTAGCTGATTGAGAATTTCACTTCCTCTGTTGCTTTGATCCACCACAATTTCATTGATTGCTGGGGTACTATTTCTTGATAACCTGTCAAGTACAACCCGGGTGACATTCATGGAACTTTGGGCTTCCGTGTGAGGGGTTGTCAATTGAATTCCCCTGGCCTTCTCGCTAAGAAGTCTTAACTGCTCCACCACATCACCGAACCAAAAGAATTCCTGCAATTGAGCATCAACCTCACTTGAATCAACAATGTACTCCACTTTATATCCTGAATCAGTGGCTCGATCAAGAAGATCTTTTAACTCTGGATGCTTCTCAATGTCTAACTCTGAAACATTCTCCAAAAAAGACCTCAATGACTTGAAATATATTTGAATCTCTTCAACATGGTGCTTCACCAGCGCAGTTGAGGCGGGATCATGTCTTAGAAATTCCCCAAGCCTTCTACAAAGAAAATCAAACAACTCCAAATTAGAAGCCTTGGGGAAATTTAACTTCGGAAATTGAGGAATAATATCTGTGAGCTTTGCCTTGATCAAATGCACCACATTATCTAACTGCTCAGAATATGAAAGGTTAGTCATTTCATCTTGTGTGTTAAGGAAATAGTAAGAGAAACATGTCAGCCTCATAAAAGATTTTCCAATTGCTCCTAATATGTCCTCTTTTTCCCTGACTCTCTCATCTGACAGAATTAGTGTGATGTACTCAAGCTTCCGAAGGTGGACTTTGATTTGATCTTCCCAATGAGCCATATGCCTTTCATCATTCTTGCTCTCCACAAGCAATAGCTCCGTCAGAAATGACTCTCCCTTGAAAATCACAATCTTAAAACGAAGTCGCAGAAGTGAGTTTTTTGCTGCTGACGCTGTGATTTCCTTGCGCCTAGATGACTCGAAAAGAAATTTTTCCTCCTCGAATGCTGATTCAATCAGTGCCACCAACTTTTGCCTATCTAATCTCGTTTCTTGGGGCAACTTCCCAGAATATATGCGCAGACTCTTGGGGATTTGTCTACAGTCATGCATCACTGAATTGGGAAGCATACCAGAGGAAAGAGAGGAAGTATTTGTATTGCTTTTCATGCTATGGATTTGCACCACAAGGAAAAGCTCTGCCTCGAGAAGACAAATCTTTGTAAGTAACTCAGAACAGCGAGGTGAATTATCTAGTTTTCTCCCATTACGACCAGTTAACTTGAATATAGATGCCAACTCTACTAGCACTGCAAGAATTTCTGGAATGAAACTTTGTGCTGTGTCCTCATCATCTAGTATAGAAATGGTGTAGAGAAAAAGTTGTAATAGCCAGAATACCTGGGCTCGAAAATATCCATCTTCACGAAAGAAGAGATAGTGGCAAAACCTCGGCAGAAGATCCTCCAATGCAAACTTCTTAGCAGAGCAGAGAGCCATAAGGAAATTGAGATGGAAACCCATGAATTTGGGATTACTAGGATGAATCTCACTCTGCAAATTCACCAGGAACTCAATCAGCTCTCTTTCCATCACTTGGATTTGGCCTGTCTTGCAGTTTAACCAGCAATCACTACATCGATTTGCAATTCGTAGGGCGAGGGATATAACATGGCCTACGCAAGCATCAAAACTAGGCAGTCCACGAGCATGATAACAAAGATGAGTATGTTGTAGTACATCTGTTGGTGCTCCTGATGATAATGAAACAAGGTAATCTTTGATGTAAATTACATTACGATGGAGGGAATGGAATTGGATCTTTAGACTAGAATCTTCATAACCCCAGTGATTAGCTGCCATAATCTCGATTGTGGACACAGTTGATCCTACATATTGTAGTAAATGTATGCAAAAGGAGAGATCAAATACAAATGAGTTGCTGCTGATGCTGCTGCCTCCGCCTCTTGACCACATCAGGTACAAATGGTCAAGAGCTTCTTCAACTTCAGCAATCAAGCGCTGTGCTTTTCTTCCACAATCAAGGGCTAATTCGTTTAGGAATTCTACATCTTTTACCTGGTCATCATCCACCATCTTTTCTTCACGGAAACGAATAAGCTCCTGGGCAATCTCCTCTGCTGTAGCTTCAATCTTGAGGCAGATGAGCATGTTCTTCCTCTCCTCATCTGTAGCGGCATCACTCCTCTTATGAGCAAATTCCCAAAGTTTTCTCAAAAAATCCCAATCATTTGTGACTTTTGATAGGATCTCCGAGGGATACTTTATGCCCTTCAGTGCAGATTGAAGGCGATCCAAGCTTGAAGAACCAGCACGAGCGGCACAAGCCATCATCTCCAAATTTTCTGGGACAGATCAATCTCTGAGCAAGTTAGTATAAAGTATGTTAATGAGAATGAAGTACAGTTGCCAAAAGCAGCAGCTAATAAAATTATGCTCAGAGTTCATGCGCAATATTTTTATTTAGGGATAACTGCAGAAACCTCCCCTGAAATTTTTGACATTTACACTGATCTTCCCTGTAGTTTGAAAAATTACACTTACCTCCCCTGAGGTTACTAATTCTTTGCAAATTCAGTCCAAACGATTAAAATATTGTTTTAAGGAGTGAAATTAGAATTTTTTACCAAATTTATCCTTTGTACTACATGTCCAATGAATGATAAAATACTACAAATCAATTAACAATTAATAAAGTTTAAGGAGTATAGTTTATAGACAAATATGCATTACCTATTTAAAGTACCGGTTCTTTATGGGTATTTTACTTTCAAACATTTAATTTAATACAAATATTTACGCTCAAATTCATATTTGTATTTACTTTCAAATATTTAATTTTTATTAAATACAAAAACTACCAATCTCTCTTCCGTAAAAATATTAATATAACACTTTTTCAATTTTAGTTACAAACATTTATGTATTTAACATAAATTAAATGATTCAGAATAAAATACCCATAAAGAGCCAATACTTTACTCATGTAATGGATGAAAGCCATAAAGAATTAATACTTTATGGGTTATTTTTTTAAAAAAATATTTAATTTATATTAAATAAATAACCTACCGATTTTCTTTTTGCAAGAGTATTACTGTAACACTTTTTGAATTTTACTAATAAACATTGATATATTTATCATAAATTAAATATTTGAAAGTAAAATATCCGTAAAAAACCGATACTTTAAATGAGTAATGCGTGTTTACCTATAAAGAACCGATAACTATTTAAAGTACTGGTTCTTTAAGGGTATTTTATTTTCAAACATTTAATTTAATACAAATATTTACGCTCAAATACATATTTATATTTACTTTCAAATATTTAATTTTTGTTAAATACAAAACCTACCAATCTCTCTTCTGTAAAAATATTAATATAACACTTTTTTAATTTTGGTTACAAACATTTATGTATTTAATATAAATTAAATGATTCAGAATAAAATGCACATAAAGAGCGAATACTTTAATCGTGTAATGGATGAAAGTCATAAAAAATTAATACTTTATGGGCCATTTATTTTTTTAAAAAAATATTTAATTTATATTAAATAAATAATCTATCGATTTCCTTTTTGCAAGAATATTACTATAACAATTTTTGAATTTTACTTACAAATATTGATATATTTATCATAAATTAAATATTTGAAAGTAAAATACTCGTAAAGAACTGGTACTTTAAATGAGTAATGCGTGTTTGCCCATAAATTATATTCCTTAAAATTTATTAATTGTTAATTGATTTATAGTACTTTGTCATTCATTGGATATGTAGCACAAAGGGCAAATCTGGTACAAAATTCTAATTTCACTCCCTAAAATAATATTTTAATTGTTTGGGTTAAATTTGCAAAGAATTAGTAACCTCAGGAGAGGTAAGTATAATTTTTTAAACTACAGGGGAGGTCAGTGTAAATGTCAAAAATTTCAGGGGAGGTTTCTGCAGTTATCCCTTTTATTTATGGGATAATTTCAGAAACCTCCCCTGAGGTTTCTGACACTTTCACTGACATCCCCTGAGGTTCTCAAAATTTCACTTACCTCCCTTGCTTTTGATTTTGTGGTAACAATCCAGTCCAAATCAGATTAAAATATTATTTTCATGTGTGAGAAGGTATTTTTATTCCATAGCTACCCTTTGCAGAAGTTGTATTAGTAGAAGATTCAAAGAAGAATAAATGATTTGGACTAATTAGTAAAGTTGAGGGGGGATAAGTGCAATACAAAAAATTGCATGCACCAGATGTGGCATGCAACAGTTATTTGGCAGATTTTGCAACGGCTAGCTGCAAATTGCAACGGCCAGAAGGTTTGCTGTTTCAGTAGCAATAGCATATAAAGCAAAGCAACTTAACTACCTCTGAGGTTTCAAGCTATTAACATTCTTTGCTACTAATTTGGAGTGATAACAAGTGCATTTGCTGTGCTACAATTAGAGCTCTGAGTAAAAAGTTTTAGTTGCAACCATGGCCTCTTCAAGCCATAGGGGAGAATCATGGAATTCACCTACATCTTTCTCCATTAAAAACAGGTTTTGCCGCTGTAATCGCAAAGCAACCGTAATGATATCAGAGAGTGAAAGGAATCCAGACAAGTTGTATTTCTATTGAGAAATTTCCAACTTTGTGATGAATTTTAAAAAAATTCTACAAAAGGGGTGATTTTGGGTTTAATTTCCGTCAGGGGGGTCTTCGCATTTGTGAATTTCACAAATGCGAGCTTACAAGAGCTCGCATTCGTGGAATGCGAGCTCTGGTTATTGAGCTCGCATTCCACGGATGCGAGCTCTTCTCAATTTTTTTTTTCCTTTTTTAAGAGCTAGGGAATTATTTCTAGGAAGCAAATGCGAGCTCTTATCTTTTTTATTTTGGTATTTTTTGAGAGGTAGGGAATTATTTGCAGAAAGCTTCTAATTTTTGTTTTAAAAAATGTTGCAAATATTTAAAATTTTGCAAATAGCTCGCATTTGTTAAATTTGACCTGCAAAAATTGTATTTAACTTTTTTGTTAGATTTCGCATTTATAAGTATGACTTGTAGAAAATTAGATTCAAATTTAGATGTATTAGGGTTTTAAAAATATTATATAAGTGATAAAAATTTTATAAATTGTAAAAATAAAATCAAACTGCTTGGATAATTAAATGTTATATTTGCATAAGAAATAATACAATAATCATAATAATGATAATACAATAATATTGGTGTAATAAAACTGCCATTAATTTAAATATTTACTTATAATGCCCAAAGAGCCTAATTACCAATTTTTTCTTCTCGCGCTCAAATATAACATTAACCCGCATGCGAGCTAACCTTGAAATAGAAAAAACACAGAATCCCGCTTGCGGGTTTCAGGAGTATTCGGATATTCTCATATGCACCTATGCAAATCGAACCAACCGGATATCTTATCCGTATCCCATTTTTTTAAATAAAAATCTTATAAATTTGAAAAATCAAATCAAATTTAGATGTATTAGGGTTTTAAAAATATTATATAAGTGATAAAAATTTTATAAATTGTAAAAATAAAATCAAATTTAAATAATTAAATGTTATATTTGCATAAGAAATAATACAATAATCATAATAATGATAATACAATAATATTGGTGTAATAAAACTGCCATTAATTTAAATATTTACTTATAATGCCCAAAGAGCCTAATTACCAATTTTTTCTTCTCGTGCTCAAATATAACATTAACCCGCATGCGAGCTAACCTTGAAATAGAAAAAACACAGAATCCCGCTTGCAATTCTCATATATAAGTGATCTTATATGTGATCTTGTTATTTCCTCTTGTCAAATCACACCAGGCACAAAAAATGGCGCCAATATTGCAGCTCAATTGGCGCCTTACTCCCAAAATGACTGGATTAATTCATGTATCAGGAATTAAGTTTCTATTATTGTTGTTAAGCTTAATTAATCATATCAGATGCCATTATGTAACTAAACGGTAGTAATTAACCCCAACTACTTGGGATATATCTGTAATTTTGGCCCTGATGACGTCAGAAAAGGGGCCCAATTTTTTATCAAGGGAGGTAAGTGAAATTTTGAGAACCTCAGGGGATGTCAGTGAAAGTGTCAGAAACCTCAGGGGAGGTTTCTGAAATTATCCCTTTATTTATTCTGTAACGTAAATTAGTCAAAAAATTTCTATTAGGTGACTTGGTGGGTCTCTTGTACAGCTTTTGGCAATCAATTACTCCTTTTTCTTTCCTCTATAGCTTGTAAACAATCATTTAGCTTTTCTTTTCCACTGCAATGTTTTCAATTATTCAATTTAAGTACTAGGTGTAAGATTGACTGGCCAGAAGGTTGGGAAACTCTTAAATGATAAAAAAAAAAATTTTGGCCTTCTTTGGATTGCATTTTTCTGAATTTTTTGTAGAAAAATTATTATAGTGATTTGATAAATATGAGATAAAAAAAATAATTATAAAATATATTCACGAAAAATTTAACAATTTTTCTTTGAAAAATGGCAATCCAAACAAAAGTTGCGTGGGGCGTAAATCACAAGACAGAAAATGTTTGTGCGTTGCAACCATGGTGCAAAGTACGCGAAGCGTAAATCACTGATGCGGAAACCTAACAAATTCGGGAAAGCGGTAGAAAAGACCCACCAACCACTTACAAGTCTTTTTCTAGTAAAACAAATGTAAAAATTAAACATTTATGTGGTTTTACCTTATGCTTGACATGCTCTCAAAATCATAGATCAGTTAGAAAGTTTATTATTACCAATTAAGTTAACATGTGCTGGCTTTGGCTTAGAAGTATAGACTTTGAAAAAACGATTCATCTTCCACATTCACCAATAATTACATAGTTTTGCCTCCAATTACCGGGACGAGTAATGTCAAGTCCCAAAACTACATGACAGGTGTCGAACCTGTGCAATAATAATAAATAAAACCTCACTACCACCTGAAGCAGTCAATAATCAATTCTAGTACTGGAGTAAGGACTCTAGGTGTACAATGGGTTATTTGATTTACCCTGTTCCCGAAGAATTTATTTAATCCGATATACTTGAATTAATTATTTAACTGAATTCACTAACTAGTAGACAGTGATAAGCAGAGTCGTCTCCTCAGGAACTAGCGAAAAATTTGTTTCTTTTCAAGTCAAAATTAATGAGGGGTTTTGGGATTAAATGCCAACTAAATAAATTAAATGCAGAAAATAATTAATTAAAAGAAATAATTAGAGAAACTCTAACCACGGATACACTTCAGAAATGGTTCATGCAACTGATCATTGATTCAAATATAATTCCAACATTTATTAATAGATTAGTTATAATCGTCATGCACGCGATAAACAACCAACATTTCCTTAATTTCTCGATAGTTAAGATAT